CTAAAGGAGGAATTACGTACCCAGCGCAAAGAAACTAAAAATCTTGAAAAAAAAGTGGAAGAATTGATGGCTAGAGTAATTAATGCAGAGAAGGTCCTAAACGAAATGAAAGAGATGAAAACCATGACACGAGAAATACGTGACAAATGCACAAGCTTCAGTAACCGACTCGATCAACTGGAAGAAAGAGTATCAGCGATTGAGGATCAAATGAATGAAATGAAGCGAGAAGAGAAACCAAAAGAAAAAAGAAGAAAAAGAAACGAACAAAGCCTGCAAGAAGTATGGGATTATGTAAAAAGACCAAATCTACGTCTGATTGGGGTGCCTGAAAGTGAGGGGGAAAATGGAACCAAGTTGGAAAACACTCTTCAGGATATCATCCAGGAGAACTTCCCCAACCTAGTAGGGCAGGCCAACATTCAAATCCAGGAAATACAGAGAACGCCACAAAGATACTCCTCGAGAAGAGCAACTCCAAGACACATAATTGCCAGATTCACCAAAGTTGAAATGAAGGAAAAAATCTTAAGGGCAGCCAGAGAGAAAGGTCGGGTTACCCACAAAGGGAAGCCCATCAGACTAACAGCAGATCTTTCAGCAGAAACTCTACAAGCCAGAAGAGAGTGGGGGCCAATATTCAACATTCTTAAAGAAAAGAATTTTAAACCCAGAATTTCATATCCAGCCAAACTAAGTTTCATAAGTGAAGGAGAAATAAAATCCTTTACAGATAAGCAAATGCTTAGAGATTTTGTCACCACTAGGCCTGCCTTACAAGAGATCCTGAAGGAAGCACTAAACATGGAAAGAAACAACCGGTACCAGCCATTGCAAAAACATGCCAAAATGTAAAGACCATTGAGGCTAGGAAGAAACTGCATCAACTAATGAGCAAAATAACCAGTTAATATCATAATGGCAGGATCAAGTTCACACATAACAATATTAACCTTAAATGTAAATGGACTAAATGCTCCAATTAAAAGACACAGACTGGCAAACTGGATAAAGAGTCAAGACCCATCAGTCTGCTGTATTCAGGAGACCCATCTCACACGCAGAGACATACATAGGCTCAAAATAAAGGGATGGAGGAAGATTTACCAAGCAAATGGAGAACAAAAAAAAGCAGGGGTTGCAATACTAGTCTCTGATAAAACAGACTTTAAACCATCAAAGATCAAAAGAGACAAAGAAGGCCATTACATAATGGTAAAGGGATCAATTCAACAGGAAGAGCTAACTATCCTAAATATATATGCACCCAATACAGGAGCACCCAGATTCATAAAGCAAGTCCTTAGAGACTTACAAAGAGACTTAGACTCCCATACAATAATAATGGGAGACTTCAACACTCCACTGTCAACATTAGACAGATCAACGAGACAGAAAGTTAACAAGGATATCCAGGAATTGAACTCATCTCTGCAGCAAGCAGACCTAATAGACATCTATAGAACTCTCCACCCCAAATCAACAGAATATACATTCTTCTCAGCACCACATCATACTTACTCCAAAATTGACCACGTAATTGGAAGTAAAGCACTCCTCAGCAAATGTACAAGAACAGAAATTATAACAAACTGTCTCTCAGACCACAGTGCAATCAAACTAGAACTCAGGACTAAAAAACTCACTCAAAACCGCTCAACTACATGGAAACTGAACAACCTGCTCCTGAATGACTACTGGGTACATAACGAAATGAAGGCAGAAATAAAGATGTTCTTTGAAACCAATGAGAACAAAGATACAACATACCAGAATCTCTGGGACACATTTAAAGCAGTGTGTAGAGGGAAATTTATAGCACTAAATGCCCACAAGAGAAAGCAGGAAAGATCTAAAATTGACACTCTAACATCGCAATTAAAAGAACTAGAGAAGCAAGAGCAAACCCATTCGAAAGCTAGCAGAAGGCAAGAAATAACTAAGATCAGAGCAGAACTGAAGGAGATAGAGACACAAAAAACCCTCCAAAAAATCAATGAATCCAGGAGTTGGTTTTTTGAAAAGATCAACAAAATTGACAGACCACTAGCCAGACTAATAAAGAAGAAAAGAGAGAAGAATCAAATCGACGCAATTAAAAATGATCAAGGGGATATCACCACCGACCCCACAGAAATACAAACTACCATCAGAGAATACTATAAACACCTCTACGCAAATAAACTGGAAAATCTAGAAGAAATGGATAATTTCCTGGACACTTACACTCTTCCAAGACTAAACCAGGAAGAAGTTGAATCCCTGAATAGACCAATAGCAGGCTCTGAAATTGAGGCAACAATTAATAGCCTACCAACCAAAAAAAGTCCAGGACCAGATGGATTCACAGCTGAATTCTACCAGAGGTACAAAGAGGAGTTGGTACCATTCCTTCTGAAACTATTCCAATCAATAGAAAAAGAGGGAATCCTCCCTAACTCATTTTATGAGGCCAACATCATCCTGATACCAAAGCCTGGCAGAGACACAACAAAAAAAGAGAATTTTAGACCAATATCCCTGATGAACATCGATGCAAAAATCCTCAATAAAATACTGGCAAACCGGATTCAGCAACACATCAAAAAGCTTATCCACCATGATCAAGTGGGCTTCATCCCTGGGATGCAAGGCTGGTTCAACATTCGCAAATCAATAAACATAATCCAGCATATAAACAGAACCAAAGACAAGAACCACATGATCATCTCAATTGATGCAGAAAAGGCTTTTGACAAAATTCAACAGCCCTTCATGCTAAAAACGCTCAATAAATTCGGTATTGATGGAACGTACCTCAAAATAATAAGAGGTATTTATGACAAACCCACAGCCAATATCATACTGAATGGGCAAAAACTGGGAAAATTCCCTTTGAAAACTGGCACAAGACAGGGATGCCCTCTCTCACCACTCCTATTCAACATAGTGTTGGAAGTTCTGGCTAGGGCAATCAGGCAAGAGAAAGAAATCAAGGGTATTCAGTTAGGAAAAGAAAAAGTCAAATTGTCCCTGTTTGCAGATGACATGATTGTATATTTAGAAAACCCCATTGTCTCAGCCCAAAATCTCCTTAAGCTGATAAGCAACTTCAGCAAAGTCTCAGGATACAAAATTAATGTGCAAAAATCACAAGCATTCTTATACACCAGTAACAGACAAACAGAGAGCCAAATCAGGAATGAACTTCCATTCACAATTGCTTCAAAGAGAATAAAATACCTAGGAATCCAACTTACAAGGATGTAAAGGACCTCTTCAAGGAGAACTACAAACCACTGATCAGTGAAATCAAAGAGGACACAAACAAATGGAAGAACATACCATGCTCATGGATAGGAAGAATCAATATTGGAAAATGGCCATACTGCCCAAGGTAATTTATAGATTCAATGCCATCCCCATCAAGCTACCAATGAGTTTCTTCACAGAATTGGAAAAAACTGCTTTAAAGTTCATATGGAACCAAAAAAGAGCCCGCATCTCCAAGACAATCCTAAGTCAAAAGAACAAAGCTGGAGGCATCACGCTACCTGACTTCAAACTATACTACAAGGCTACAGTAACCAAAACAGCATGGTACTGGTACCAAAACAGAGATATAGACCAATGGAACAGAACAGAGTCCTCAGAAATAATACCACACATCTACAGCCATTTGATCTTTGACAAACCTGAGAGAAACAAGAAATGGGGAAAGGATTCCCTATTTAATAAATGGTGCTGGGAAAATTGGCTAGCCATAAGTAGAAAGCTGAAACTGGATCCTTTCCTTACTCCTTATACGAAAATTAATTCAAGATGGATTAGAGACTTAAATGTTAGACCTAATACCATAAAAATCCTAGAGGAAAACCTAGGTAGTACCATTCAGGACATAGGCATGGGCAAAGATTTCATGTCTAAAACACCAAAAGCAACGGCAGCAAAAGCCAAAATTGACAAATGGGATCTCATTAAACTAAAGAGCTTCTGCACAGCAAAAGAAACTACCATCAGAGTGAACAGGCAACCTACAGAATGGGAGAAAATTTTTGCAATCTACTCATCTGACAAAGGGCTAATATCCAGAACCTACAAAGAACTCAAACAAATTTACAAGAAAAAAACAAACAACCCCATCAAAAAGTGGGCAAAGGACATGAACAGACATTTCTCAAAAGAAGACATTCATACAGCCAACAGACACATGAAAAAATGCTCATCATCACTGGCCATCAGAGAAATGCAAATCAAAACCACAATGAGATACCATCTCACACCAGTTGGAATGGCAATCATTAAAAAGTCAGGAAACAACAGGTGCTGGAGAGGATGTGGAGAAATAGGAACACTTTTACACTGTTGGTGGGATTGTAAACTAGTTCAACCATTATGGAAAACAGTATGGCGATTCCTCAAGGATCTAGAACTAGATGTACCATATGACCCAGCCATCCCATTACTGGGTATATACCCAAAGGATTATAAATTATGCTGCTATAAAGACACATGCACACGTATGTTTATTGCAGCACTATTCACAATAGCAAAGACTTGGAATCAACCCAAATGTCCATCAGTGACAGATTGGATTAAGAAAATGTGGCACATATACACCATGGAATACTATGCAGCCATAAAAAAGGATGAGTTTGAGTCCTTTGTAGGGACTTGGATGCAGCTGGAATCCATCATTCTTAGCAAACTATCACAAGAACAGAAAACCAAACACCGCATGTTCTCACTCATAGGTGGGAACTGAACAATGAGATCACTCGGACTCAGGAAGGGGAACATCACACACCGGGGCCTATCATGGGGAGGGGGGAGGGGGGAGGGATTGCATTGGGAGTTATACCTGATGTAAATGACGAGTTGATGGGTGCAGCACAGCAACATGGCACAAGTATACATATGTAACAAACCTGCACGTTATGCACATGTACCCTACAACTTAAAGTATAATAATAATAAATAAATTAAAAAAAAAAAAAAGAAAAAAAAAAAAAGAAAATTCAGAAACCCAATATCATGCTATAGGAAAATGCATAGTGATAATTAGCAAATCCAGATAAGCTTAAGATGTAATCTATACAGGCAATATTATGCAAACACTGGATACTTGGTTAGCTGACAGCTAATTTTAAAAGTGATAAGACCATTTTTTTACAGACAGCTGTAAGAGATGGGTCTTATCACTTTAAAAATTAAATCAGATAACAAATTCAGATTTGTTTTTCTAAAGCTCAACCTATGGTATGCTCAACTTTAGGAAGAGACATCAGGTGAAAATGATTTTTCTAAGACCTGGAAACTGGACTGATGCTTTCAGGAATGAGCCAAATGTGGATAAATGTGTCAAACTCTCCCTGGGTCCTAGGCATTAGCCCAGGAACTCTCTCCACGGGCATGCATCTGATAGAGATGGAATAACTCAGTGTGCACCTATAGGTCTTGTCTGCCTCTGAAAATGAGGGCCTTGGAAGGCAGTGCAAGATCTTCCAAGGTCATATTGAGTGCTGGTGTCGGTGTCTCGGGAGACAGCCAATGTGTATTAGTCATGAACATGGGCTTAGGAGGAACCCACGCCCCCTTGTTTACTAGCTCTGTGACTCTGGGAGAGTTACCTAACGTTTCTGGACCTGTTTTCCTCAACTGAGAAATGGGGATCATAATAGCATAGAGTTTTTGTGAGGATGGTATGAGTTCATGTATGCAGTGTACAGAGCAGTGCTTGCCAGGTCAGAAGCACTTGATAAAACAAGCTATCATTATTTTTATTATTTCCTTAAGGATGAAAGGCTAAAAATGGTCAGTTCCTAATGGAAAACCTTGCATCATCTGCTGCTATTTCTGGAAACATGAAGGTTGCTGCGTGGTCTCCTGGTCACAGTGACTTTAGAATCTAGAGCAGGGAAGTTTAAGGATGATGTAGTTCACGAGGCAGAGACGGGGCACCATTCTTTTTGTGCTATCCTATTCTCTGTATGCTTTGATGGCCTTTATTTTTATTTGATTTAAATTCCTCACAACATCTTTCTCATTGATATGGAATTGAGTTTTGACATGGTTATTGTTAGGCCTGCCGTCCCCCGAGGTGGCTGTGTATTAACTACCGTGGCGCATCCTTTCACAGCCCCTCTGCGGCTTTCCTTCCAGCCTAGTGCACTGGGCTCATTTCGTCATCCTTCATTTCTCTCTAGCATGCAAAGAGATTGATATTCTTCCTTGCTGCTCACAAATGATATTCCGCTCTGACAGCCAGCCTCACCACTTCCTCCAAACCCTTCATGTAAAAACTCGTCCTATCCAAGAAACCTTTACAGAATGAAAATGGTACCTTTCAAGGAAACCAGTGATGAACTGGAAAATACTGTCTGATCAGGCCTCCCACTGACTATCTTCACCGTCATACCTCTCCACTACTCAGTGGCACCTCTTCCTAGGCTATACATTGCCCCCTTCTCTTTATCTTTTTCCACTTCCCTTACTAACTTTTCAATGACTCTCTAATTGTTGCTCTATCTCAAATTGTGTAGATTCTGATTTTCAACTGAATTATATTTACTCGCATTTTCAATACAGTGAAGTAAACGTTGATTTTATTGGCTCATTCATGTAAGTAAATGAAAGACAGCCAAATGACCATATTGTTTTAATCAACATTTTTCTTCATGTTTATAGTTTCTCTATGGATCTCCTTCTTATTTCTTTCAATCAACTATATGCTGAGTGCCTGTTCTTCTAGGTGCTGTTGCTTTTACATTTATCTTGATTAGCTCAACCAAAAAGGAAAAGCAAGGATCAATAAGTATTGACACATTTGGGCGAGGGAGATGGCAAATTATATAGCTGATTTTTCTGTTCCTTATAAAATAGAGTGTAACGTTGTTCTAAAATTGTATGGATTATATTTTATGGGTTTACATGGAAACATAAATCCTAAATCATGTAAATTTCCATAAGAATGAACTCTGTCTTAGGACATGCTTTCTCTCCCTAACAGACTGTGGCTCCCGAGTTCCATCAGTGCATTCTCCACAGGCAGCAGTTTCTTCAGGACCATCATATCCAAGAGCACTTAGCAGTGGAAATGTCACCTTTATTATCATTCTCCTCCATCTGAAGAAAACAGTTATAAAGCCTGCCGACCAATGCTGTCTTGGAAACTAAATGACAGAGAAATTATAAAGGCCAAAAGAAAATGGTATACACTATAATAAGTTGAATACAAATTTCAGTGAAACTTTTTTTCTTGGCAAATGTTGCTTTGCAGAGCCTTACCAGTGTTTTGTGGCAGCATATTTGCTGGCTTGGGCCTTTGGGAGATTATTACATTATTGCATGATGCAGTATATGGTGTTTTGGGGACTCCTGTGCCATATTTTCACTTTAAATCATCACTCGTAGCTTGGTGTTTCATTGTTTATAACGGTGAAGTCAGTAATGAATTTTCGATCACAACAAACATGAAAAGAAATATACTAAGCATTTACATACTGTGTCTGTGCTCTCTGCTGGGTTAGGATGGAAGTCTACAGCACTGTGTTTTAACGCACTTTTCTCACCAGTCCTGCTCTTGCAGAATCCTTAAAGAGCACATTCCTACTGAGTAAGGGAAGGAAAAGGAGGTACCGTGTGTGGGGAAAGGTGAGGGGTCTCTCTGTAGGGTGTGTAACTTGTGACAAACCCAGAGTGAAGAAACTAAAGGGAAGTTGTATTTTCCATCCCTAGTGAGCTTTCAGGTACTTGCAGTTCTCTGGGTAACTGCAGTAGTTTCTCTCCTTCTGATGCAATGTTGTTATGTTTTTCATTCAAACATACTTGCATCTTGAGGATTCTACTCTCTAAAAAAGATGAAATGAAGAATTTTTGAGAAATAAACATTTCAGGGAGGGACAGAAATCAGGCAAATGGTTTTGACTGCATATGTCTTAGAGTGTGTAGAATTAGGGCACCAGGTTACAGAGGCTGGGCAATCAGAGCATATTTCTTTTTTGAATGTAATATACATTAATATTGCATGGACTATTTTCTCCTCTGTCTGTTTTACTTATTTTCAGAGGTAGATTTGCAGTGACCTAGTACCCCAGTTACCTTGTTCTTCTGAAGACATTCTCCAGAGACCGAGGTTGTCTTTATTCAGTGCTTAACTCAGTTAGCTATGTAGCTTGTGTTGAACTCCTGGAAGTTAGAACATGCCTACAAAAATGATCCCAGGGCTGTCAGATTCAGTGATTTGAAACACTGTGATAATGCCTCCCTTAAGCTGTTATGCCTATATTGATAAATAATAAAGGAGAAATTAGTATGTTCTAAAACTAGTTGTATATTCTAATTTTAGCATATGTGTGGGGAGTAGGGGAGAAAGGGAGAGAGAGAGAGAATGGGAGAGAATAAGAGAAAAAGGGAGATAAAGACAGATACTTTCCTTTTTACCATTATTTTGTTCTCTCCCCAATCAATGGCCACTGTGGAAATTCTAAGCCCAGCCTAGAAATTTCTGGAATTTTTGTTTAAATCACTTCCTTTTAAAGAGAGAGGGGAATATATAGGAAGACTTTTCATATAGCATACATGCATTCTGTCTAACAAAGTGCTCTGTGGGCTGTTCCTGATACTAAGAACATTTAATATTTTCTAGAAAAATATATTTTAAGAGATAAAGGATTTAATAGGTCTTTTGCTTCTGGTAATCAGGTCATCAGATTAAAAAAATAGTAATCTAGAGGAGCTTTGTTATGGGCTCCTCCTCTTGGTGATTAACTGCGACCTCTGTTACTTTTGTAAAGCAGTAATATTGAATGCACCTGGAAAAAATTATAATCGGGTATAAAATTCAGTCATTAAATATGTCAGGTGTATGTATGGCTGCTTCAAATGGTGTACTTTGTTCATTTTATGTAGAAATATACTGATATTCACAGAACTCATCTATTGCAAAGTGCCCCTCTCTTAATAATATTTAGTGACTAAATTTTATTTCAACTTATCTGGTTTTTAGATTATGTAAAACATCTAAAAGAAATAAATGTGAGGCTGGGTGTGGTGGCTCACACCTGTAATCCCAGCACTTCGGGAGGCTGAGGCGGGCGGATCACGAAGTCAGGAGATCGAGACCACTCTGGCTAACATAAATAAACCATAAATAAACCAAGCAGGAAGGACGAATGAAGCAAGCGCAGAAGTCCAAAAGTAAGCCTATGCACATGACAAATATGATATTTCAGAGAAGAAAGGGTAGATTTTTGAAAAATAATGTTGAAACATCATATTATCCATTTTGAGAAAAATAAAGTCACATGCTTATGAATACAGAAAAGCCCACATGGAATAAAATGTTAGTATTTATTATGACAAGATTAGAAGAAAATAGTGAAGTTTTCGTTTGTTTTGTAATTTCAAGGTAGAAGTGGAGTCTTCTTAGAATGTATATATGCAAGAATCCATACAGGAAAAATTAGCCAATCTCAGTTAACTGCACAGAGAGAGAGAGAGAGAAAAAAAAACTTATATGTGATTCAAGATGCCAAAATTAACATAACCATGCAGCTGGAGACTAAAAAAATGGCTGAATACGAACACGAACACACCAGACCAACTTTGATGTGATCACACATCTCTAGCTGCCGCTCACGGTGCCTTGAAAAGTTTTGTACTGAAGTTACATTGCCCAAGTCAAATAGCCCATTCATTCCCATTTCTTTACAAATCTCTAACACCCACTCCTTCCTTCTCATTCTTGGCTGATGATCTTATTTCACTGAGAAAATAGAATCAATACATTAGATCAATTCCTGTACATGTGGATATTTCACTTGTTGCTTCTTATAAATGGATGAAAAATCTGTGCTCTTAGCAAAACTCAGAGTCTTTGCTTGTGCACTGACTCACGTAGCTTCCAATCTGCTCAAGGACTTGCTTCTGCAATTGTCTGCTCTCTCTTTGACACCATTAATCTATTGGTTCATTGTTATTACCATACAAACATCTTAGAAGAACATCTCCCATATTACAAAAACAAAGTAACCCTTCTTATTGCTTTAGAACAATTAAATTGCCCCGAAGAGTTTTGCCGTTCTCTAAGGCAAAATTTCTCCACAATGGACTTTGTGTGCCCATCTCCTCTGCCATTCTCTCTAGAGACCAGTTCACTTAGACTTTTGTCTCCCTCCAGAATCGCTTGAATCCGGGAGGTGGAGGTTGCAGTGAGCCAATATCGTGCCACTGCACTCCAGCCTGGGTGACAGAGCGAGACTCCATCTCAAAAAAATAAAATAAAGAATTTTGTCTCTCTGCACTAAAACCTTTTTTCAAAGTAACCAATGACCTTCACATTTCTGAAAACAATGGTCTCTTCTGAACCTTCAACTTAAATCTATTTCTTTGTCACTTAATATTTGAGCTTGGAATCTGATATGAACAATATCTCCTGCCATATTCTACTGGTCAAAGCTATCACAGATCTCAGTCCTAGTTGAAGTCAGAGAAGAAAGGACTATCTGGGGATCATAGGGCTTCAAAAGGATAAATACAAAACAGCTACGTAATTAACTTTAATTGACTGTGTACCTGGCCCTGTTCTAAATGCTTTCCTTGGCTTTTGGGACCCCACACTTTCCTGTGTTTTCTCCCATCTCACTGGTCATTTCTTCTAAGGCCTCCGTGATGGGTCTCCTCCTGTTCTTCCCTCATGGACATTGAAGTACTTTGGTACTTGGTCTTGGACAGCTTCACCTTCAGGCCTACACTGATTTCTAGAGTTCCATGGCTTTAAATATTGTCTATGCACCGGTGACCCTTAGGTTCCTGCCACCTCGTCCACCACCTCCCCCTTGAACTCCAGACTCCTTCGCATTTCTGCCTAGAAGACAGTGAGAGAGCAAATAGGCTTCTCAAGCTCAACATGTGTGAGGCTCTTCCTTGCTTTTCCTTCCAGTCATCACCTCAGCAAAGGGCACCGCCACTCACCTAGTGTTCAGGTCAAACATCTTAGAATGATCTTTTCTCTCTTTCTCCTCATAGTGCATCAACTGCACTTGTCAGCTTTACACTCACAATATATTTGTAATCTGGTGATTTTTTACCACTGTCGAGTTATCTCTTGCCTGACGACTACAGAAATAACCTCCTGAGTAAGGCGATGACTTTCCCTGTGATCTTTCAGCTCCCATTCTTCCCGACACTTCCTTGCACACATGTGCACACACCCAGCCTATCTTGCCCCGTGGCCAGCCTGGTCCTTCTCAGATGGAAATCAGATTGCATTACTTCCCTATTCAAAATGCTGAATAGTTTTCATCCTCCAGTGAAATAAATCCACAGTCCACCATTTACAAGACCTTAAATTTTCTGGGCCCTGGCTGTCGCTCTAGAGTGGCATCTTACTACTGCTGACTACCTGTGGTCCTCTAGCCAAACCAGCCTCCTTACAAGTTTCTGGAACACAACAGTTATTCCTTCATCTCAGGGCCTTTGCATACGCTACATCCTCAGAGTGAAATGTTTTGCCTCCAGGTATCAGCTCATTTCAGTGCTCAAATGGCCTCCCTAGCTGGCCCATCTAAATAGCACACTTCACCATTGTATGTCACTTACCCAACTCTATTACTCTTTGTAACACTTATAAAACATTATGTCTGTCTTTCATTGTTTACTGTATATCTTCCACAATAAACTAAGTCCAAGAGAGTGGGACTTTGTCTTACTCACATCTGTATTTCCGGTATCTAGTACAATGCCTGGCACAAAGTTTCCAATAAATACCTTTTAAATAAATTAATTAATGAATAAAGGACAAACCATAGACTAGAAAAAAAGTATTTGTGGCATATAGAATAGCAAACAAATTAATATTCAGAATGCAAAGAGCTACCACAAAACAATAAATACAAAGAGGCAATCTAATAAATATTTTTTTTCTAAAAAAGGATTATCTATAGTGAATTCACTGAAAAAGAAACCCAAGTAGTAATAAACACATGAAAAGATGCTACAAACTTCACAAATAATCAGAGAAATGTCAATTAAAACAATAAGCTACCACTTTTTTTTACTCAAAGTGGCAAAATTTAAATGACAACATCCATTGGTGGCCAGTATTTGGATAAATGAACACTATTGTGAAATATTGGTGACAATATAAATGAGAAAAGATTTTCGTTTGGGGGGAGAGCAATTTGGTATCATGTATTATAATTTTAATAA